CGTGGAATGGCATGATGACCCACTTCCCAAGGTTTGGAGTGATTTGATTGGTGATTTGCGAGATGAAGTGCGTAGGCTGAGAGGTCAAGGAAGTGCTGTTGTGATTGAAGATCCCACTGCAGTTGTGGCTCTCCCTGAAGGTGAAACAGGAGGAATGGGAATAGCTATGGCTCTGCAAGATCAATTGAAGCAGAAAAATTCAGAGATAGATGCACTGAAGGGCAAATATCAGAATGTTGTCATGTTGTTTGTTGTATTTGTGGTGGGTTTAGTTGCAGGGAAGATGCTACTGTAATAAGATGTGCAAGTGTTATTTGTATGCAATGTAGCAATGCTTTAGGGTTTAGAATGAACTGGTCTTTTGGGCATTGAAGATGCAACTTGTATGCATTTGCCTCTCTGAAAGTTTAAATTGGAATCAATGAAAGTGGAAGCGCAAGTTGTGTTATGCCATCATTTTGTACCTCTCTGAAATGCATATATGTTTGAAATCTTTGCTGGCAGTAAAGTGAAAAATGATGCAGTTAGTAAGATATTGCAGTACAGTGGAACATTATGCTGTTTGTAAGATAATTCCAATGCATTGTCAGGATGGCATTTAGAAACAATGCTAGCAAGTAAATAAGAAGGAATTGCAAGTGATGAAAGATCATTCAGATCAAGTTAATTTCACATAGACTGGGTTTGAAATAAGTCACACTCCCACACATACATGACCCCTAGTTTGAGCCATGAACAAAAGATAAGTTTGCAACATTACATCAAAAAAGTTTTGAAACATTGCAACTTGAACAAAAGAACTAGCTGCAGCCCTTCTACAACTATAACTAGTAGTTTCCACTGCAAGTGAAATATCTGAAGCTTGGCACTGATGATGCAGGCCTTCTTCCCCTCTTAGCTCCAGATCCTGTCCTTGTGGAAGTAGATGTTGTAGGGGCAGTAGATGATCCAGCTTCAGCAGTTGCAGTTCTCTTTTTTGGAGGCTTGAACCTGTTGGTCCCAGTAGAAGGTCCTGTTGGTACTGAACTTGTTGTTGGTGGAGCAGAGGCAGAGGCAGAGGTTTGCTGCAAATTAAGGATAAATATGCAATAAGTTCCAATGCAAGAGCAATAAGCATGATAAATATGCCATAGATAAGTACATTACAGCAACAAATACCTCAGTTGGGTTCTTTTTCTTGCTAGTTCTAGCAAGATGAGCATTTTTTTTCTTGCCTCTCTCTGGATTCTGCTTACATCCTGATTTGTTGTGTCCAGGGTTACCACACAATGAGCATTTGATAATTGTGCCATGCTTGCTCATTTTCTTCCCCTTAGGTTGCTCAGTTTCTTCTCTTCTCCTATCATTGTTTTTAGGCCTTCCTTTTTTCTTCTCTTTTCCTGGCAACCTAACATATTCAGGAGGCACTGGCCTAGGATTGGGTGACACTGGCCACATCTCTTCACCCTCCACAGGCTGCAAGCAATGCTCATAGATTTTGTTGAACACCTCAACAAAGTAGCAAGGAGCAACAAAATCCTCAATTTTTCTGTTGCACTTGTAGATGGCACTAATTGCATGGTGGCAAGGAAGCCCTGCCAACTGGAAGTACCCACAAGAGCATGTCCATTTTTCCAGGTCCACAGTGTACTGCCTTCCTCTTCTATTCACTTGCTTCACTTCAAATCCATTTTCTCCATTCCATAGCACTTCAAGATATTGTGTTCTAGCAATACTTTTCTTGAGCTTCTTAAAAACAGCAGGGCATATTTTTCCTCTAAAGTTGGCACCTTTCTCTCTTTGTTCCTGAATTCTCACAAGTACCTTTTTCCTAATTTTTTCATTCATAGAAATAATAGGATAAAACCTAGCATCAACTATAGCATGGTTGAATGACTCACATAGGTTGTTGTCAACTGATTCACAGTTTGAACCAACTTGGAAAAAAGCCCTTACCCAGTGCTGTGGCTCAGTCCTCATGATGTCTTTAGCCCCTTCAGGAGTGACTTGTGCAAGCTTGGCCTTATAATAGTTGAAATCTTGCTTGTTAGAAGCCTTAGCAACTGCCTAGAATTTTTTTGCCACTCATGATCTCTATGTTTCTTCCTCCAATTAGCATAAATGTGCCTAGCACACATCCTATGCTCTGCAGTAGGAAGGTAATCATTCACTGCATTAATCAAGCCCTTCTACTGATCAGAAATAATAACCCAGCCAGCTCCATTATTGTTTATTTCCAAGTCCTTAATGAGCAGCCCAACAAACCACTTCCATGTGATATTAGTTTCATTCTCAACTACAGCCCAGGCTAGTGGATACATCTGATTATTTGCATCTCTACCTATGGCACACAAGAGCTCACCCTTCACTGCACCTTTGAAGAAACAACCATCAAGGCCTATTACTTTTCTGTAACCAGCCTTGAATCCTTGCTTCATTGCATTAAAGCACACATAGAAGCTCTGGAATACACTTTCCTCCATGTTGGTCGGGTCCATGCAAACAACAACTGTGCTTCTAGGGTTGCTCCTTAGCAGCTCAAGTTGGTAGTCAAACACTCTAGTGTATTCATTGTTTATTCCACACAACAATTTTTCCATGACAAATCTTTTTGCATGCTTGCACTTTGAAGTGGAGACATCAGCAAACATATCTTGCAAAATAGTTGCTTTCATGCTCTCAATTTTCCACATAGGATTTGCCAATATGAAGTGCTCATACCTCTGTGCAATCACCTTTGCAGTAACCAACTTGTTGCATCTGTTCTGTGCACATTGGTGATCATCATTGTATGTTATGACTTGGAATCTTGAAGTCCTTGATCTCTTGGCTGCATATATCAGCCATGGGCAGCCAGGCCATCCACACTTTGCCCTTACTCTGTCACACTCACATTTCATGAACTTAATGCTCCTCTTTGTTACTAGACCATATCTTCTCAAAGCTTTGCACAGCTGATTCTTGCTTCTAAAAACCATGGTCAAAGCAAAATGTGGTACTTCACTTTCAGGGTTGTATCTTGGGAATGTACTCTTCCTCTTCCTTATATGACCATCTGAATCTTCATCATAGCTGTAGTCCTCATCAGATGAATCATAGTTCCAATCCATTTCTTCTCTTTCAATTTGCTCCTCCATGTTGGCAATCAATTCAATTGGCACTGGCCCAGTGGCATCCCTACCTATCCAGCTCTTGGAGTCCCTCATCCTTTTCTTAAATTTCCTAGCATGTCTCCCGAGCTCCACAACTTCTGAATCCTCCCCACTATCATCAGTATGTCCAATGTATTCAGGGTCACTATCTGAGTCTGAATTTTGATTGGCACTGTCAACATTTGCAGCTACCACCATTTGGTTATTCACATGCCCTGAAGCCTGAGGTTCAGAAGCACATGCTGATGCAGGTTGACTTGGATCCAAAACCTGGGAAAAAACACCTTCCATGCCTGCCATTTCATCCACATCTACTACTCTGCTTCTTCTCTGCTTCAAGGGGCTGCAAATTCTTTGAGTGATTACACCAGTTTCATCAGGTATGAGCACATCAGTGTCAGACTCTGCAGGTTCAACAGCACTTACTGGCACTGGTTCTTCTGCAGTTATAACTGCATCTGGTTCTTCAGCAGTTATAACTGCATCTAGTTCTTCATCATCACTCTGTTCCATGAGTTCATCCTCAAAATCACTCCCACTACTGCTGCTGTCATTGCTATCTTCCTCTCCATGATACTCCACACACACATTAGCAACTCCTCCAATTCAAATGTAGTCAGACATCTTCACACAAGAACTGTCATCATGAAGGAACACCAAGCCATTGATAAGCTCTTTTCCAGGAAGCAGAAAATATAACTTCATCGATTCCATCAACTGAGTATGATCTTTTAAATAGCCTTTCACTTCCTGCAGTGACAGTTTATCCCTCTCAATCTCTGACATTGCTTGATCTCCCCCAACATAGTCCAAATTTGGACCAATGCGGATGAACTTCCCTCCAATATGAAACCGAACATTCAAAATCTCACTTGGGTCCATGATTTCACTGAAAAAACATACACCGCGATCAAAATAAAGCATAACAATCTATTCCTAAATCAATCTATTCACAAAAAATCAATCTTTTTCCGTCACCCAAATCGTCCCCAATTTTGCCCCAAATTTGCCGCTCAAACCCTAACCCTAATGCCGCAACTACTCCAACCTATGAATAACAAGGGAGGAGGGCATCCAGAACATTACCTGCTTCTTCGATGCGCCGTCGCGCCGTCACGATTGTCGCAGAGGTGGCGATCAACCGCCGGTCGCCATTGCCGTCGCCAGAGAAAGATGAATGCAGAGGGACGCGGAGAGAACGAAGCGAAATAACGGGCCGAACTGGGCCGTCCCACTAATATCGCCTCCGACGCGCGCCGAACGACCCATCCCGGCCACCCCATTGCCACGTCGGCAATCCCCGTTTGGGAAACGACACTAAGGTTAGATTTGGACCGGGATTAGTTAGTTTGGGGTCAGAACGACAGGGATTTCGACTTCAGGGTTTGATTCGCCGGACGTCTACGAATTCAAGGTTTAAAATGGACTTTTTCCATTTTTGTCTGGAATGGAACCGAGACCGAGAGAGCTCCCAAAAAAAAGCAGTTTTTGTCCGAGAGCTTGGGGGAGCAGTGACCCAGTACATACATTTTCTTGCACGCCCGCATCTCGAAATCCAATCAATTAGTTTACCCACGCATTAAATTAATACAACCAGCTTCGGTCTTTGAGAGGTGATGAGGGATGCCACTTGATGGATTCTTTTAGGATCGTATAAAGGGCCTTTGTGAGTTCTGAACTTGTGATTAGTGGCTTTGTGATGTAATCCCAGTTGAAGTGCAGAACCTTTCCGGAGTTTGGACTTTGGGAACTTCGAGTTATCATCAGCCAAGAAAGAGAAAAGTAGCCCACGAACACACGAAAAAGAGCCCCATCATGACTAGGCTCCCCCCTCCCGTTGGATTCTCGCTCTATTGCACCAGCTTTTAGCGCTTAACGTTAATCTTTTATTATCTGTGATCTGAATCTTGCTGCTGATTTGCTGAGACTCTTGTGCTTCATGCAGAGCGGGAGATCAGCGCTGCCGCGCCTGAGCCCGTCGTCGAGCTCCTCATTCCTGCGTGGGCTGGGCCTGGACATCTCGTCATCGTCGCCGGCGTCGATGTCGTCAGGTCAGCATCAACAACAGCACCACCACCACCAGGAGCCCATGCAAATGCAGTTCCCGGAGGGGTCGCTGCAGCAATGGCTGCCGCGGTTGGAGCCCGAGCCAGCTCCGATGATGTCAACCGGGCTGGGCCCCGGGTTACCATACGACTCTACCGGCGGTCCGATGGGGTTGCCGGAGCTCATGATGGGCCAGTCATCACTGTTCAGCGCCAAGCCGGCCACGCTGGACTTCTTGGGGCTCGGGATGAGCCCCACCGGCCCAACGACGAGCAGGGGCCTCCCCGTGCTCATGCAGCCCATGGGCGGCCCGGACCGGCAGCGGGGCAGCGGAGACGTTCGGCTCCGGCCAGGGCGCTCAGGCCAAGCCGTGGGAGAGGAACCCGAGCAGCTCGCCGATCCTGTGAAAGGACTGCTGGGCAGTAGTAACACGTAGCACAGCAGCTGTAAAATGATGCTTGTGTCTAATTAGCAGCAGCTAGTCGTCAGTCCTTCGCCGTTATTTCGTTTCTTAGGATACAATCAAGTACGTAAGTTACTTTTGTTCCTTTAGGCTTCAGCTTAGTAGTACGAACGCCTTCCCTGCCCTGAAGCAAAGTTTCTTTTCAAGTTCATTCACAGATCAGTCTGTGCACCTTAACATCCAGTACCGCGGGTTAATTAGAGAAGACGGCAGGGTGTTTCCTGCAAAAGTGTGGACAAAGACCCGTCAAGCCACCTGGCTGCCATTTGTTGAGCTGTGATAGGCTGGGGACTAAATCATCACATTTAGTGCAAGCTGAGGTACGATGAAGTTGTATTTTACAAGTTTGGGACTAAAATATCACATTCCATGCAAGTTAGGGTACTTCTGAATTAGAATTAGTTTGAATTGCTACTTGGGGTGCTTTTACCTCAAAATGATAACCCCAACCGGCAGAACCTGTTGACCGGTTTCCTTCCAGCGGTGAATTGTCTAGGATCATTATCCTGCTGGGGCCGTTGATCCTCGTTCTTTAGTCTGGTGTACTTCCTGATATGCTGTACCTCCAGTTTGGTGTACTTGTGGTGAAGCTTCCTATGGTGTTTATAATTTACTTTGTATTAGCTTTGATGTAGTCCCTCCGTTTGTATTAACTTTACTAAAATTAGTACAAAGTTGAGTCATCTATTTTGGAACGGAGGGAGTATCAACTAGTAGCAGCAGAAAACACGTTTCAGAAGTTCAAAAAAATCTGATTTTTTTCATATTATCATACAGACATATACCATATGTGTGTAAATTTTCATGAGAAAATACATTGACACTCTAGGTACAGAAAAAAGCAAAAAAAATAGTTTTCCAAAATGAACAATACACACTCTCTTCACAAATTGAAAATCGCAAATTCGCCATTTTTGTGAACCTCGCCTGCCAATATATTCTCTCACCAAATGCCGAGTAATTCATGTGTTGTAGTTGTCTTCGCCTTGGTCGCATTCCTCAAAATCCTAGAGGCATGTCATCAATATCGTAGTGCAGAACACGCTCATAAAGCTCGATCAGCAACTCATGCTCGTTGAGCAATAGCAATCATTCTTAGACGTCTTACCTTTAAATCAAGCTGGTGACACCTCCGATGTCTACAATTCAATTCAAGACCTTAAGGCACAAACTTTTGCCTCGTAATCCTACATCAAAAAAGTATCTACAAAATGATGCCATAAGAACCACCACATGCCACAAGCGTGTTAATTAGTAGCTGCAGTGGCGGTCGGGGCGTCCCGAATCAACGGCGATCTTATTGCATCTCATCTTCAGGATACATGACAAGGAAGGTACCATATCATTCACAGCCTTGCTTATGGAATAACGCATCTCATCTTCATCAATCTTATTGCATCCAAAAGAACGGAGGTCGAACAAATCTCCTCTCGGAAGCGATGCCGAGTAATTCACGTGTTTTTGTTGTCTTCGCCTTGGTCGCAGTCCACAAAATCCTAGAGGCTTGTCATCAATATCGTAGTGCAGAACACACCCATAAAGCTCCATGAGCAACTCATGCTCGTCGAGCAATAGCAATTACTCTTAGACGTCTCACCTTTAAATCAAGTTGGTGACACCTCCGATGTCTACAAATCAATTCAAGACCTTAGGGCACAAACCTTTGCCTCGTAATCCTACATCACAAAAGCATCTACAAAATGATGCCATAAGAACCGCCACACGCCACAAGCGTGTTAATTAGTAGCTGCAGTGGCGGTCGTGGCGGCTCGAATCGACGGCGATCTTATTGCATCTCATCTTCGTGAGACGTGACAAGGGAGGGACCAAATCATTCGACGGCCTTGCTTATGGAATAACACATCTCATCTTCATACATCTTATTGCATCTAAAAGAACAGAGGTCGAACAAATGTCCTCTCGGAAGCGATGCCGAGTAATTCATGTGTTGTTGTTGTCTTCCCCTTGCTCGCATTCCACAAAATCCTAGAGGCGTGTCACCAATATCGTAATGCAAAACACGCACATAAAGATCAATCAGCAACTCATGCTCGTTGAGCAATAGCAATCATTCTTAGACGTCTCACCTTTAAATCAAGCAGGTGACACCTCTGATGTCTACAAATAATTTCAAGACCTTAAGGCACAAACCTTTGCCTTGTAATCCTACATCACAAGAGCATCTACAAAATGATGCCATAAGAACCGCCACACGCCACAAGCGTGTTAATTAGTAGCTGTAGTGGCGGTCGGGGCGGCTCGAATCGACGGTGATCTTAGTGCATATCATCTTCAGGATACGTGACAAGGGAGGGACCATATCATTCGACGGCCTTGCTTACAGAATAACGCATCACATATTCATCAATCTTATTGCTTCTAAAAGAACGGAGGTCGAACAAATGTCCTCACGGAAGCGATGTCGACTAATTCACGTGTTGTTGTTGTCTTCGACTTGGTCGCATCCCAGAAAATTCTAGAGGCTTGTCATCAATATCGTAGTGCAGAACATGCCCATAAAGCCCGATCAACAACTCATGCTCATTGAGAAATAGCAATCACTCTTAGACGTCTCACCTTTAAATCAAGTTGGTGACACCTCCGATGTCTACAAATCAATTCAAGACCTTAAGGAACAAACATTTGCCACGTAATCCTACATCACAAAAGCATCTAGAAAATGATGCCACAAGAACCGCCACACGCCACAAGCATGCTAATTTGTAGCTTTAGTGGCGATCGGGGCGGCTCGAATCGACGACGATCTTATTGTATCTCATCTTCAGGATACGTGACAAGGGAGGGACCATATCATTCGACGGCCTTGCTGATGGAATAACGCATCTCATCTTCATCAATTTTGTTGCATCTAAAATAACGAAGGTCGAATAAACGTCCACTCGGAAGCGATGCCGAGTAATTCACGTGTTGTTGTTGTCTTTGCCTTGGTCGCATTTCACAAAATCCTAAAGGCTTGTCATCAATATCGTAGTACAGAACACGCCCATAATGCTCGATCAGCAACTCATGCTCGTTGAGCAATAGCAATAATTCTTAGATGTCTCACCTTTAAATCAAGCTAGTGACACCTCTGATGTCTAAAATCATTTCAAGACCGTATGGCACAAACCTTTGCCTCATAATCCTACATCACAAAAGCATCTACAAAATGATGCCATAAGAACCACCACACGCCACAAGCGTGTTAATTAGTAGCTGCAGTGGAGGTCGGGTGGCTCGAATCAACGGCGATCTTATTGCATCTCATCCTTAGGATACGTGACAAGGAAGGGACCATATCATTCGACGGCCTTGCTTATGGAATAACGCACCTCATCTTCATCAATCTTATTGCATTTAAAAGAACGGAGGTTGAACAAATGTCCTTTCGGTAGCGATGCCGAGTAATTCACGTGTTGTTGTTGTCTTCTCCTTGGTCACATTCCACAAAATCCTAGAGGCTTGTCATCAATATCGTAGTGCAGAAGACACCCATAAAGCTCGATCAGCAACTTTTACTCGTTGAGCAATAGCAATCACTCTAAGACATCTCACCTTTAAATCAAGCCGGTGACACCTCCAATGTCTACAAATCAATTCAAGACCTTAAGGCACAAACCTTTGCCTCATGATCCTACATCACAAAAGCATCTACAAAATGATACCATAAGAACTGCCACACACCACAAGCGTGTTAATTAGTAGCTGAAGTGGCGGTCGGGGCGACTCAAATCGACGGTGATCTTACTGCATCTCATCTTTAGGAGACGTGACAAGGGAGGGACCATATCATTCGACGGCCTTGCTTATGGAATAACACATCTCATCTTCATCAATCTTGTTGCATCTAAAAGAACGGAGGTCGAGCAAATGTCCTCTCGGAAGCGATGCTGAGTAATTCACGTGTTGTTGTTGTCTTCGCCTTGGTCATATTCCAAAAAATCCTAGAGGCTTGTCATCAATATCGTTGTGCAGAACACACCCATAAAGCTCGATCAGCAACTCATGCTCGTTGAGCAATAGCAATCACTCTTAGACGTCTCACCTTTAAATCATGCTGGTGACACCTCCGATGTCTACAAATCAATTCAGGAACTTAAGGCACAAACCTTTGCCTCGTAATCCTACATCACAAAAGAATCTACAAAGTGATACCATAAGAACCACCACAAGCCACAAGCGTGTTAATTAGTAGCTGCAGTGGCGGTTGGGCGGCTCGAATCGATGGTGATCTTATTGCATCTCATCTTCAGGAGACATGACAAGGGAGGGACCAAATCATTTGACGGCCTTGCTTATGGAATAACGCATCTCATCTTCATCAATCTTATTACATCTAAAATATCAGAGGTCGAACAAATGTCCTCTTCGGAGGCAATGCCGAGTAATTCACGTGTTGTTGTTGTTTTCGCGTAGGTCGTATTCCACAAAATACTAGAGGCTTGTCAACAATATCGTAGTGCAAAACACGCCCATAAAGCTCAATCAACAACTCATTCTTGTTGAGCAATAGCAATCACTCTTAGAAGTCTCACCTTTAAATCAAGCTAGTGACACCTCCGATGTCTACAAATAATTTCAATACCTTAAGGCACAAACCTTTCCCTTGTAATCCTACATCACAAAAGCTTCTACAAAATGATGCCGTAAGAACCGCCACACGCCACAAGCGTGTTAATTAGTAGTTGTAGTGGCGTCCAGAGCAGCTCGAATCGACGGTGATCTTATTGTATCACATCTTCAGGATACATGACAAGGGAGGGGCCATATTATTCGAGGGCCTTGCTTATGGAATAACGCATCTCATATTCATCACTCTTATTGCATCTAAAAGAACGGAGGTCAAATAAATGTCCTCTCAAAAGTGCTGCCGAGTAATTCAGATGTTGTTGTTGTCTTCGCCTTGGTCGCATTCCACAAAATCCTAGAGGCTTGTCACCAATATCGTTGTGCAGAACACGCCCATAAAACTC